GAATTTTCTGAATCTCGTTAAGGCTGACATCTCTCTCAAGGACCATCACCACCATTGCTTCCAGTGTTTTGACAAAAACTCCCACGTGTGACCTCCTGGCCAGGTGTCTGCAATTTCCTATTATCAGAGCATTTGTTGTATCCCTGGGGGCCGCAGCACTCTCTAAGTCTGCTGTGGCTGAGTTAAGAAAGCAGACATCCAGAAAATGTGATTCCATGAAAGGGTTTGAGGAGATGAGAAAGGCTGGTCCCTCTCAGAGGAAAAGCAATTTGTGGATATAAAGAATGTCTTGGGTTGAATTACATAGAAGTCTGTCACTGACCCGTTTTCCTGAACTATGAAACGTGACTATGTGGGCTAAGAAACAGTGTCTCTTGATAAATAAATAATTAAAGACAACAACAACACACACACCCAAGTTGGGGAGTTGAAGTTCCTGCTCGGATTCTTATTAACGGTGAGACTCTGGAAAGTTACTGATCTTTCTGCTTTGGTCTCCTTACCTATAAAACGGAGATGATAAAAATAGAAATAGGATGAAAAAAGGAAGGACCCAGTTTTGCCTCAAATTCTTGAAACTGTTCATCAGCACTTCTGGTACAGAGACGCTGTGAGTACCCACCAGAAACAGACGTGGCCCACTCGCGTTATTTCTCCCCAGCATCTTCTGTTCCGCGGCCCACCCCCTCTCCCTCTGTTCCTAACAGCAGAGGTGCCCGGTCTGCCTTTCTATCATGATTCAGCCTTGAGCTTCTCAGACTCAGGGGCAAAAACATGAACTTGACAGCATCAAGCAAATTTATGGATCCTGGAGCCCCATGTCATAGGGAAAGAAATAAATGCCTCTTTGTAAATTTTAAATCTGACAGTCAGTACCCTGCTTCTTTCTGTGATCATGCTCAGGATAAAGCTCCAGCTCCCCAATATGACTTATACGGTCCTCCGTGATCTGACGCATGCCACCCTGTCCAGCCTCATCCCTCACATCCTGTGCTCCAGGCCTCCCCAGTCCTGAATTTCCCACATGAGCCATGCCTCCTCATCCTGGGCCAGCCCCCCCCCAACCCCCAATGTCCTGTCTGAGCAGAGCACCTCTCTGGCCCTCTGCACTCGGGCAGCAGCTCCTCCTGGCTTCTTCCCTGACGATTCTAACCTGGCCCTGCACTCCCCCTGCTCTGTGGCCCCCTCCATGGGTTCAGCCAGCTGTACATGTGTCTCTGGTGCTCAAGGGCAAGGATTGCGTCTTTTGTTCTGTGTCTGTGGCATCTAACACAACCCTTTATCTCCCCTAGAGTAGGCTCTTAGCACATGTTTGTAGGAGAGAAGGAGGAGAGGTGGAGGAGGGAAGGAGGAAATGGATAGAACTTCTTCTTCAAGGCCAGGTGCATTGGCTCACGCCTGTAATCCCAGCATTCTGGAAAGCCCAGGCAAGTGGATTGCCTGAGCTCAGGAGTTTGAGACCAGCCTGAGCAAGAGTGAGACATTGTCTCTAAAAATAGTTGGGTGTTGTGACAGGCGCCTATAGTCCCAGCTACTTGGGAGGCTGAGGCAAGAGGATTGCTTGACCCCAGGAGTTTGAGGTTACTGTGAGCTATGAGTCCACGGCACTGTACTGAGGGAGACGAAGTGAGACTCTGTATCAAAAAAAAGAAGAAGAAAGAAAGAAAGAAATTCTTCCTCTGACCTCTTCTGCCAATTTCCAAGATCATAAAGCAACTCAGGCCTTTGAACTGTAGGCCATAATACTCTAAAGACTAGGCGCCCATGGGCATACAGAGACCGAAGAGAAGGAACTCCTGGAATGAGACAGGCCAGGGAGAGTACCAGGGCAAGCCAGATGCCAGAGCATGAGTCCCCCAGGGAGATCTCACAAGCTGCAGGAGGCTCCCTGGGCCGTTCTCTGAAGGAATGTGAGCCTACACGGTCAACCCTCTGAACGCTGATAAGAGGCTAAGAGCTTGGAGTATCTTTAGTGAACATACTTGGAGTGGGGCAGGGACAAGGCTGGGCTACTGGCCCTACTGCAGTGATTCCAGGTTTTTGGCCACTCGGTTCCAGAGCCCATGAACAGAGGCTGCTGCTTGGACAAAGCCATGTTAACTGAGGTGAAACCACCGGGGTCAGCTGCATACAAGCATGAGAAGCTGTGGGGAGAGAAGGGTTAGCACTGGCTGAGCAGAAACAGGCACACAATGAGGCATTTCACACACGCCATTTCATTTGATTGACATACCAACCCATGGACAGTGGCCTCGATTTTACAAATGAGAAAGCCAAGGACCAGAGAGGTTAAGTAACTTGTCACAGCTCCCACAGGAAGAGGCTGAGCCAAAATTTAAACCTAATTCTATCCGACTTCAACTATCCTGCTCTCCTTGCACTGAATTCCTCCCCTGAGCCCTTCCTTCAAGTGTGATGCTCCACTCCAGGATCGGAGTAGGTGGGGCCATGGAAGGCAGAATCTGCCCCCAGGTACACAGACACCAGTGAACCAGGGACTTGGGATCTATCTGTCCCCCGGGAAGTTACTTCTGGTACATAGGGAGTCCTGGGATCCCCAGTGCTCACCCCCCAGCCCCTCCCCGGGGAGGAGATAACTTCAGGCAACTCTCAAAAGGCCTACAGTAGTGGGGTCACCTCCTGTTCTAAAGACAGTGCTTCCATCTCAACCATCAGCACCCAATGCCAACTTTATCCTTTAATTGTCTAGCCCTGGAGATGAAAGGAAAACTACTTAGCAGCATAATCAGAAATCCTCTCACCCCTGTAATCCCAGCACTCTGGGAGACCAAGGCGGGAGGATTACCTGAGTTCATGGGTTTGAGACCAGCCTGAGCTAGAGGGAGAGCCCATCTCTAAAAAAAAAAAAAAGAAAGAAAGAAAAAGAACCAGGCAACGTGGCAGGAACCTATAACTATTTAGGAAACTGGGGCAAGAGGATCACTTGAACCCAAGAGGTTGAGGTTGCTGTGAGATCTCTACCTACCTACTCTGTCTCAAAAAAAAAAAAAAAAAGGAAAAAGAAATCCTGCAGTCTGGCAGGTGCTTCTGAGGACTCTGACCACCTCTCCCCGCATCTCAGGGCTCCAAGAAGCAGGACTCGACATGGGTGCTGGGACACCTTCCACCCCAACCCCCATACCTGGTGGGTAGCATCTGAGATGCCATTGCAGAACTGTCTTTTGGCTTAGAGCTCTGGTTCAGATTAAAATGCAGGGGATATTTACAACAGTGGCAGCCATCGCAACCTTAGCATGGATTGGTTTCCAGCGTGGTTATGAAAGCAGGCTTTGAAAGGGGAGGAAAAAGACAAAAATGGGAGGACTGCGAATGTCTATTTGGAGGCCTCAAATAGAAAAGTAAAGTGACTTTGTATACATTTCCCACTCGTATCCCACCAGCAGCCCAGGAAAGTCAGCTACGTAACGTGCTTTTAGGGTTGATGGGTACAGACAATCCAATACAGTGTCCCCTAGAAGTCATCTGAAATCTGTCCTCTAGGGCATGAGAATTGAGCTTCAACTTCCCTTTCCTGACTCCGCTTCCCCAGGTGGGGTTTGGTATACATTATGCTGGTTAGAAGCAGACTGTTTTAGCCAGGGGTTGTGGCAGTGTCAGGACGCTGAGGCAAGGGGATTGCCTAAGCCCAAGAGTTTGAGGTTGCTGTATGCTATGATGCCACAGCACTCTACCAAGGGCACAGAGACTGTCTCAAAAGCAGCAGCCCTTTTCATGGAGAGAATGAAGCATGCCCAATAGACAAACAAGGCCCTGATCTTGAAATTGGGATTCTGGCTCCCTAGAATGAGGCTGAGGAATTTGCTGACTTGAATTAGGACAGGGAAAATTAAAAGGGAACAAACAGTGCCACACATGCTTAACAGCATGGGATACGAAGACATGAAGCAGGGCAGCCCCCAAGCCAGGTCCCTCTCTGAGCCTAGAGCAAGGTTGGCTCTGAGAACCTGGGAGGAAGCAAAGTGTTTCCCGCTCTCCGGGAGGCTTAAAATGGGAATTATGCCATTTGGATATATATCTGAATTACACGAATGTGATTCTAGGTCTCACTAAAGTCTTCAGTCATAAAAGTGCCCCTGATCTTTCAATATTTACAAAGCAAATACATTGGAAGAAAGAGAAAACATCCTTTATTGGATGTCATTGCTGATGTGCAAACTACTTTACGGTGGTATCTTCACTTCCACTTGAAATCTGAGGGGTCTCTAAACATCTCATTTTGAGGTGCACACACAAGGCATCCTTGGGGTTCTTGGGCCCTCTTCTTCCATCCTCAGTTCTCAGATATGCCCCGTCGTACACCATGCATAAGAATTTGACTCAATAAACACACACTTAAGGGAAATATAAGTACAAATTTACTACCCACCTAATAGTAGCTAGAAAAGTATAGGTATAATGATAAAAAGGAAATAATCAACTCTGCAGTGCTCAGCTTCAAACCCAAACCTGTCAGGGGGGAGAGGGAGTTGCATGCTTCAGGGACCAGGCAGCAGGATACAGGAAACAGGCCAGGTGAGAGAGTACAAGTTTTGCCAAAAAAGGCAATCGCTACTTAGTTCTAATTGATTGTCCTCTTTTAAAAATGCAGATCAGAACTGCCACACCTTTTGATTGTTCAAGAGAAGCCAGAGATTCTGATTTTAATATAAAATCTCTTGATTTCTGAGATGATGGTTCAATGTTTTTGAAAATACTAAGTGAGCTAAATAAAGCTGACAATCCACCAGTTTGCAGTGCTCTGCCATACAAATGGTGAGGGACATCTCCCCTAACTGCAGTCTTAGACTGCCACTCACCAGCCACAACTGGAAATTGCAACAGAGGCATCAACCAACAGGCTCTCTAGCTCCACTGTGCACACACTGCTGGACTCCTGAGCCACGGACAAACAACTAACTCTACAAGAAAAACTGGCAGGCTCAGCTGAGCCACCCAAGGACAGCAGTTGGCTGGCCTTGCTGGCCTAAAGGCACTAAATTGCAGACTGCTCCTGCAGGAAGCCTTCAGGGCCTGGGAGGCCTTTATCTGGCTCAGAAGCCAGGGCTGCTTCTCGAAGGACTTCCAAGTGCTCCTCAGCGGCTGACAGTGACTGGTCAATCCAATCCAGGCCCCCAGTCAGATGGCAGGCATTCCTGGTCACCAGCACCAGATGACTGACAGACAGGAGCAGGGCAGTTGTCCTGGAAAAAAACAACAGGATCAGATTCCCTAAGAAATGAGTGACTCTGCACAAGAGCCCAAATGGATCACACTAGTGTTCCCCAAACCAGGTACCCTTCCCTTAGATGACGATGGGTATATAACTTAAAGATGGTTCCATGCTGAAATAAATTTGGGGATGCCTAGGTTAAACAAGATTAACTAAAGTCTGTCTCAGAGTCTTTGATGAACCTGATAAAGCTCCCAGGGGAGAAAACAATATGCTACGTCATACAAACTTATTTAAGGCTGAGGAAGCCATCTTCTGCAGCACACCTATTACTGTCTCCCAGACAGCGCTCTGTCAAACAGTCCAGATCTGGTCAATTGAATGAGCACATCCCCAACTGCTGCCCACTTAAGGACAGGACATAACAAACCCTCACTTTGAGCATTCCTTTTTGATTGCAAATCAATAAGGCCAGGGCTGGTTTATTAAAAAAAAATTAATTGAAAACCAAATTGAGAGGGAGTTTTAACATGCTTTCAGTATTGAAAAATTCACTGTAGCATACCTTTCATGTAGCGAGTGTGTGCGATGCATTTGGGGACACATCACAGATTATTAACCTATGGACAAAGCTGGCCAGCAGCAGGAGTAGGCACAGAAACCAAAGCTGCAGCACAGTAACCCACAACACGTCTACGAAATAGCATAGAAATCTGACAGAGGAAAGATTCTGTTTATCTTAAAGGGGTTTACAGCTGGTGTGGGAACATAACAATTTCCTAAGGCTAAGAACACTCCAAGTACAGGAAGGTCACAAGCGGAGGCCTTCAGAAAGTATCTGGCGGAAGGTAAGCACAGCCGTAGCTGACTTCCACTGTTCCACTGGGCAGCACTCACAGCTACGGTGAGTCTGCTTCTGGGGTCCAGAGATGAGACAGAGCAATGGGGGATATGGAAGGGAGGGAGGGCACAGCTACAGCTCAGCAAGGCTGAGTGTTTATTCACAAAGATTCAAAATCTAAGACTGGTTCTTTCTTCTCCTGGGCTTCAGGAAGAGTACTGGCCTCCATCACCCAGCTAGGCTCAGCTCACTGGTTGTCTGACCATTCACACAGAAGCAAATGGTGGCCAAAGCCCAGGCAGCCTTGGGAGGTCAGCAAACCAGTCCTCTTTAAACAACCCAGTTAGCCACCCTCATGGATTTGATAAAATGGTGAACTTCCAGCATGAACATACGAATGGCACACCGCCCCTCACCGTGCATCCAGAAGCTTGGGGTCCAGCGGAGGGTACATTGACTTTACAACATCGTCCACCCTGAGGAGAGGCAAAAGGTTTACAATAGTTCACCCTCCTTACCTCCTTTCCTTCTTCCTTCCTATCTTTTCTTATTCCAATTTTTTCCTTTTGATACTCCAGACCCAGTCTTTTGTGGTTCTTTCTCTAACTGCTTCTGCATTCTCAGACAGGGACTGAATGGAAAGACTCTAGGTTCAGTTTAGAGAGTATCTTGTTTTCTAGTTTTGTTCCCATTCCAATGGCATTTGAAAGGTCACACCTACACAGCGACATTCAAGATTACTAGTACATTAAAAAGTCTCAATGCCAAATAATATAGAAAGCTTGATATATCCCATTTGTGTAAAAATAAACAAAGGCTATGAAATGCAGGAAAATCAGGAGGAGCATTCATTTAATCAGTGGTTACCTCTTGAAATTGGAAGGGGTGGAATTAGGGATTATGTCAGTTTCTACATAATCTACATCTATGATATTTTACTTTTTATAAGCATTTGTTACTTTTGTATAGAGAAAAAAAGGTGAAGATGAAGGTAATTATATAGAACACTAAAAAAAGTCACAAGTTTAATTTGGGTTCAAACTGCTCCACTGCATTTTATGGACAGTTCATGGTTAATTTTTTTTAATCAAGTTCAGAAAAGAGCTACAATTTATTCTGACTTGTATGGTACAAGGTTTAGCTCCAATCTTTGCTCATGGACCACTGGATATCCAAGAAGAAAAAATAAAGATGTGTTATTTAATTTCTAAAAGCACATTTAAAAAGATGCCAGGAGCTGGTGCAGAAATGCAGAGGCGTGGTCACCCTTGGCACAGTAGCAGTGCCCCACAGCTAAAGCTATGTGCCTTGAAACTAATATGCCATCAGCATACCATGTGGAATAAATGCAGCAGGAAGGACAGTGGGAAGAAACAATGGCCAGAAGGAGAGAGAAACATGAAGGCAAAAAGACAAAGCGAGACCCTGACTGAATTATGGCAGAGAGCATGCTAGTAGTCCAGGGTGCTCTGTAGGAACCAGTGGGCACCAGGGCAGGCCCACTCTCTGGGCAGTGCCACACACTCACCCTAGCCCCACTGTGCATCCTGCTCACCCAGGCTTCCATGAAACCCTCAGAAATCCCAGTCTCCCTCCTCCCCCTGACCCCCCTCATAGAGCCTGTATCATAGGAATCCATTGACCCCCTGGGGTAGCTCTTAGAAGTGACAAAGAGCAGAATGAAGGGTCCAGCAGATCTGACAATACCGAGTCTCTAAACCAGACTGAATGCCTAGCAGGCGCCCAAAGCCTGGGTGGTGATGCGTAAGGCCAGGGCACTGGGGCAACTCCAGATAAAGCCAAGAATTGTTCTGGGCTGAGTCCCTCCCACTTTATCAACTCACTGAACTCCCTGGACAGAGGTCAAGTAGACCAAGCCATATATTCCTGCAGAGGCCCGCACATGGTGTCACCTCCCAGGAAATGGGTTACTTTGATCTGGTTAATCTTGAGGCAGGGAAAGGGCTAGTTCCTCACGATTTACCTGAAGCCAAGGCAACAAGAAAAGCGCGGACCCCTGGAACCCACAGGGAGGCATCCTCCCAGGCAGAGGAGGCTGATAAATGGAAAGTCCTACATTTGGCCACTCCGGGCTCAGGCACATCTGCATACCAGCCACCAGGTGGCAGCACAAATTTAGTACAGCCCTTTGTTCTAAAAGAGCTGCTTTTTTTCTTCACAAAATCCAACCCAAATGAGGGGGTGTAGTTGTCGACTACAATCCTGCTGGTTGCCTCCCACATGGGATTTTGCAGACAGCCTGGAATTTGGGAGGTCTGAATGCTGTATGGCTTCTCTTTCCACTCAATCCTGGAGGCTGCTGGCTGGGGCAAGGATGGGGCACAGAGAGCCAGCGTGGGTCCCCTAAACTAATCTCCAACAGGTATAGGCTGTACTGGACAAAGGTACGGCCAGGAGTCCCCAAGAGATGGGACATGGGTACCTGCAGAAAACATGTTTGCTGGCTCCAGCTGAGCCAGGCAGGAAGACACTGCAAAGGAAGAAAATATGCACAGCTGGTCTGCAACCAGGAGAGGAAGCAGCCCCCAGGGGGTCTATAGTGGACTAGTCAGGATGACACATCTGCCTTAGTCTCCTAATGGGTCTATCAGAGGGTGTGAGCCGCAGGTGGGGACCCACCTTTGCTGGGTGGGTCTCAATATCTAAACCCCTTCTGATTATTCTGTGACTGCGCAGGACACGAATAACTGAAGTCACCTGTGTTTCTCAGAAGAGCCTGGCCCTGAAGCTACCTTGGCTTCCAGCCTCCCACGTCCCCCAGATGGAGTGTGTCCAACCACTCACCTGGGGCTGATGCGCTTGGCCACCACAATGATGTCACTGACATTGGCTGAAGTCTTCATCTTGGCCCCTGAGCCCATTGTCATGGCAACCAGCTTTTCTGTCAAAGTGTGACAAATCTAATGCAGCAGGGAGGAAAGAAGAGATGAGGGCTGGCTGGTGCCCCCGAGGGTTTCTGCCACCCACATTTGCCAGACAAATATGGCCTGGCCTTGGCTCCCATAACCAGAGGTGGCTCCTAACCCAATGGCTGAATAGAAGTAAAAAGTACAGAGAGGAAATGAGGTGGGAAGAAGCAAAGCCAAGAATACAGCTGGGTGAGGAAAGAGGGGGAGGAGCCTCAGATGAAGGGCTGGGAGTCAGCTCAGAGCCGTCTAAGCTGAAATAATCTGTCTAAGAAAAATCATGTGCTCCAGTTTCACCTTCTCACTTAGGGGAAAAACCTACTTTCTTTTTCTATTCCTTCATCTCATGATTTAGTCTTGCAAAAGGATAAATATCTCCAGTGGAGCACCCTCAGAAACAGGGCTGGACAAAGGGTAATTGTTCCCTTTAAGCAAATTCTCCAATAAGGGCTCTCATTTTAACAATTTTCTGGAGCAATATATTAGCATGTTTATCAAGA